TTTGTAGTGCACCTTAACAAAACCAACAGAATGTAGCAGTTGTTTTTTTGGATGTTGCAGACTTTTGAATTTCTGGTTACAATTCTCCTTTTGAGACAAAGCAGAAGTACCAAGACTCACAGAGGCAAGTAGCCTCAAATTCCCAGATAGTCCACCCCCCTTTCTAATTAACTCGCACTTATAGTCTCTGTAACACATGCTGAGACCTTGGTAGTAAAATTCAGATCCCTGAATCACTGCCAGAAGGGTGGGTGTGAATCGGCTCTCCGGTCTGCACAGGGTCGTGCATCGAACTGGGGAAAAAGATCTGGCCCAAAATTCAGTAAAGGCGGTATAACATGGTAAAGCCTCTCTCTCTCTCTCTCTGTCTGAGTTCGGCCCAAAATTCAGTAAAGGCGGTGTAACATGGTAAAGCCTCTCTCTCTCTCTCTCTCTCTGTCTGCGTGGCTCTAAATAACAGTATTTTCTTGGATTCCTAGCCAAAGTTGCTGTTCATAATGGGCAAGGCATTTCTCTGCTCACCGGGTCAGCTTTTCTCTAGCCAAACCCAAGGTTGGGGAACCACTGCTCTAAATAACAGTATTTTCTTGCATTCCTAGCCAAAGTTGCTCTTCATAATGGGCGAGGCATTTCTCTGCTCACCAGGTCAAGCTTTTTTCTAGCTACGAAATCTGATGAAAAGCCTTAACCAGAGTCGCCCATGTCATCGGCAGGACATACTCAGGGCAAAAGGGGTGCCTTCCATTCCCAAGGTTGGGGAACCACTGCTCTAAATAACAGTATTTTCTTGCATTCCTAGCCAAAGTTGCTCTTCATAATGGGCGAGGCATTTCTCTGCTCACCAGGTCAAGCTTTTTTCTAGCTACGAAATCTGATGAAAAGCCTTAACCAGAGTCGCCCATGTCATCGGCAGGACATACTCAGGGCAAAAGGGGTGCCTTCCATTGACTTGGATAAGGTGCCCAATAAACACCACCACCACCACCACCATCATAGGCCATGAATTCTGACCCTTTCCAGGGTTTTCCAGGGAGAGAGAGAGGCTGACCCTTTCCAGGGTTTTCCAGGGAGATAGAGAGGACTCAAAAGTGGTTGGCTGTTCCCTTCTTCTAGGGGTGTCGTTGGCCTGGGCAGCTGGCCCAAGGCCACCCAGGCTGGCTCTACTTGCAGAAGGCATAACCGTGGGGGAATTGAACCCCCAACCTCTAACTCTGCAGCTGGAGACCTAAACCACCGAGCTGTCCAGCCAGCTGCAATAATCACCCTGCCTCTCTATTCATATGTTAGGGCGTAGAGTGCACCTTTTGACGGATCAGACTTTCCTCTTGGTTTCATTCATGCGTTCTTCCCTGCTTCAGCCCCTCCTTCCAAGAAATAAGGCGTCTTTCCAGGGCAGCCCTTCTGCATTTGATTTTGGCGTGTGGGAAAAAAAAAGAGACAATGTGATATAAATAGAACCCGCTTGCTTATTTTAAGGCTTGCTGGCATGGAAAGGGTAATTAAAATACACACATTAGTGTTAGGTGAAAATGTTCCCTGCTAGTCTGTAATTTGTTTAAAACAGACCTGTAGAAACAGAGGCCTGAAGCTTTCTTTCGATTGGAGGCCAGTGGATGATTGATAACTTTGCAGCCAATGATATCAGCCTTTCTCCCGTTGGGCAGACCCTTCTCTGCTCAACTCCCATTAACGGTATAGCCCAAGGCGCACCTTTTATTAACAAAACTGAAATTTTCTGCTGCCCAGGGAGGAGGAAAGGGATTCTGGGACTGAGGATCAGCATCAGGTATGGGTGTAATCTGGCTCACTCTGCATGAAACTCCATTTTTGTGCCTTTCGCTCAGTGGTTTAAGTCTCTGGCTGCGGAATCACAGGTTAGGAGTTCGATTCCTGCTTATACCTCCCAGAGCAGAGCCAGCCTGGGTAGCCTCAGGCAAGCTGCGCAGTCTCAGAATTGCCTCCAGAAGAAGGGAAGGAGAAGCCCCTTCCGAATGTTCTCTCCCTGGAAAGCATCACCCTGCATGAAACTCCATTTTTGTGCCTTTCATCTCAGTGGTTTAAATCTCTGGCTGTGGAATCGCAGGTTAGGAGTTCGATTCCTGCTTATACCTCCCAGAGAAGAGCCAGCCTGGGTAGCCTCGGGCAAGCTGCACAGTCTCAGAATTGCCTCCAGAAGGAGGGAAGGAGACGCCACTTCCTAATGTTCTCTCCCTGGAAAGCATCACCATAATTCAGAACTGTGTTGATGACACATGATTATTATTATTATTCATAACCATGTGGACCAGAACAGAGACGGCAATAAGGAGGAAACAGACAATGTTCAGCCAAACAGAGAGCAGGCATTAAAAAAAAATAGTTAAAGAAAGAATGTTCAAACAAAAAACAAACCCACACACTTACTTATGCTAAGGCATCTGTCCTGATTCAAACTTAGAAATGCCTTTTAATGATCCTTGGTGCAGATAGATGACCTCAAGGTCTCTGCTCTCCCTCTTTTCCCTTCTTTTGTCTTTAATTCCCTTGTAGAGATGAAGGGATCACTCCTTCCAAAGGAGGGTTATCCATTCAAATAGATGACTGCCCTCCCTAAAAAGAGGATATTGGGCCACCCTACCCACTCCGGGGGAAGGTTTGCCTAAATGTGGAAAGACTAAAACTAAATTCCAACTCGCCTCCTTCCAAAGGAGGGTTATCCATTCAAACAGATGACTGCCCTCCCTAAAAACTAAATTGCACACACACACACACACTGCCAGCTGGAGGGGTAAGCACACACACACACACACACACACACTTGACACAGCTACTGCCAGCTGGAGGGGTAATCTGAGCACTAGCCATTTATGAATATTATTAATAATATTTAGCACTGATGGTTTGAATCGCTCAGCCTCCAGAGTGAGTCATGCCGATATTTACAGTTTTCAGTCCCAAACGCAGGAGTGTGCATTGGCAAAGAAGTCCTACTGAAGATGGTAGGGGTAAACACACTGGCTCTCTTTGTGAGAGAGCCCTGTGAGGTGGGATGATGTTATCATCAAACTGTGGTTTGGAACGAAGCTGGCGGTATAATTATGTGCCTTAAGACTGGTAGTGAGTCAAGGGCTGGATTTTCCAAAGTTGGGCACAGTTAACCTTCTGGGTGGCCACTCTGAGAAGCCTTTAGCCAGCAGGTTTGGAGTAAAAGTCCGAAAGAAGGCAAGCCTTCCAAGTTCTGAGAAGGAGCCGATCTCTCACCTCAAGGGGATCAAATTTCCTCAAGGGAGGAGATTCCACAGTTGATGAAATGATTTCATAAAGGTCCTCTTTCGATTCTTGACCACCGTAGCCTCTTGAGAGGGTGGGACACATCCCAGTGCCCCTTGATAAGCAAGCCAAATACTGAGAAGTCCTCAAACAGGTTGTGCTTCAGAAGTTGGTACATGTTGTTAGCTTTTGGGGTCCGTCTCTTTGCACCTGAGAGCAGCTAGGAGTAAAGGCTTCCCCTGAGAATGTGCAGAGCACAATCAGTTGAGAAGGATTCTTCTCAGTCAGCTGTTATGGGGCCTTTGCATTAATGAGCAGGACTCTCCAAAGCAAGTTGTCTTTCTGGAAATGAAGGCCTGTTGATCTTCACAGTTCTTTGTGGCTGGCTGTCTTCGACTCAGGAGGTGCCTAAACCATGAGAACAATTCCCAGATGGCAGAAAGATGAAGATCTAATCAAAAAGAAAGAGGGGGAGTGGTCATCAGTTATTGATCTGTAATAGTATGGAGTAGAGATGGACCCGAACCACCAGTTTGTTAAAAGGAGATCCATCCATCCATCCATCCATCCATCCATCCATCCATCCATCCATCCATCCATCCATCCATCCATCCATCCATCCATCCATCCATCCATCCATCCATCCATGTGGTTTCCAACAATAACATAAACATAACCACCAACAACAGCACCCAACTGATGAATACAGTATAAACATAGAAAAGGACAACACATCTAAAAACCCAAGATGGCAGCAGTGGGCAAGATACAAACTACAGTGGTGCATCGCTTAATGATTACCTCGTTAAATGACAAAACCGCTTGACGAGGTTTTTGCAATTGCTTTTGTGATCACAAAATGATGTTTTAATGGGCAAAATTTGCTTCCCGACAATTAGTTCCCTGCTTTGGGAACCAATTCTTCGCATTACGACGATCAAAACAGCTGATCGTCAGGTTTCAAAATGGCCACCCGCTGTGTAAAATGGCTCCCCGCTGTGCTTTAGGATGGATTTTTTGCTGCACGGCACTGTGGTTTAGGATGGATTTTTCGCTGCACGGGCATCAGAAAATGGCCGCCCTATGGAGGATCTTTGCTGGACGCTGAGGTATTTAGCCCATTGGAACGCATTGAGCGGTTTTCAATGCATTTCAGTGGGCTTTTTTATTTCACTTGACGAGGGTTTCACTCTACAGCGATTTTGCTGGAATGGATTATCCTCGTCAAGCGAGGCACCACTGTACAAAATGTAATGGCCAAAAATCAGAATAAATAACAAACAGTTATAGAGGGAGGGTATCCTGAAATGCCTTCCTGAAACATGATGTCTTTAGGTGCTTCCTGAATATTAGGAGGGAAGGGGCCTGGTGGACCTCCACAGGTAGAGCTTTCCACAGGGAGGTGGCCACCACCAAGAAGCCCCAGTTCGTAGTCATGGCCTCCCTTGGGGTGGCCAACCTGCAGCATCAACCTGAGAGGTGTGAGTGGCCTGGATATTCTGATAGGTTGCAACCCTATTAATGTATGCATTTTTTTTCTCATACTGTTCCCGTCTATTCAAGAACACATGCTAAAGAGACAGGTAGCTGTGGTTGTCTGTTTGGGGGGGGAGGAATCCAAAACTTGCACTAAAACAGAACATGTTTCAGAACAAACTGAAATGTCACAAAGCATTGAGTGAGCTTGCTTATTTGCTTGCCGTCTTTCCCAAATCCCTTTTATTGACTTTGTGTGTGTGTGTATCTTACAGATTGCCAGGAACCGTTGCTGCCTGAACCAATGGCGTATACAATAAGCTCTACACCTTCCGTGCCGGTAGGGCCACAGTATTGCGTCTGCAAAGTCGAACTCTCTGTGTGTGGCCAAAATCTTCTGGACAGAGATGTGACCTCTAAATCGGACCCCTTCTGTGTCTTATTTATGGAAGTCAATGGGAAATGGACAGAGGTAAGGCTCGGAATTGTTCTGCTTTTCTTAATTCTGGCACACAGCAAATCCCCTCCTCTAATCAGTAAGATAAACGAGTCAGTCAGTTTCCAAACTCTCTTAGAGCTAAGGTTGAATATACGGAAAAGAAAACATGTATAGTCAGACTATACCAAGATATGGAGGCAGAAGAATTATAGAAATCAGGTAGAGGGGAAGAGAGCGGGAGAGAGAGAGAGAAAGAGGAGAGGGAACAAGAGAGGAAATCATCACTCTGCCCTTGTTTACAGCTTATTAAGTAGTTATTCTCTAGCAGTGCCTCCTGCAGGGCAGCAGAAGAACTACGTTAACAAGCTCAAGGTTGTTTAGCAGTGCCTCCTGCAGGGCAGCAGAAGAACTACGTTAACAAGCTGCAAACAAGGTTGTTCATCCCACTTCCTCCTCTCCCTGTGTGGCTACTTAATTCGAACAGACCTGGGGAAACCCAAATTTCTTGATGCAGGTTTACAGCGAGTGAACTACGGTTTTTCTCCTTGTGCAGTCGTGCCCTAAGCTGAGTGAATGAACCAGTTATTCAGATCTGATCTTCTTCCCCATTCCCTGTTCTTCAAATATTTGAGAAAAACCAGCATCAAAACGGTTCACCCATGTGTTTCTCTTCACATTCTGTACTAGCTGAAGCCTTTGAGTGTAATGTCAAGGAACTGGTTCTTCTTAGCACAGAAACTTCCCTAATATGCTGGTTGTGTTGGCCGTGCATTTCTCTTATCGCGTCTTTTCAGGCTTATGTTTTGGTTCAATCTGGGTGGCTAATTGTGATCTTTTACTTTCGCCGCACAGGGATTTTTCCCAAACGCTTTGAAAAGTTCTGTAAGAAAGTTTGGGGGGGGGGGCGTCATATGGAAATGCTGTGGAAGTCTTAACCAGCAAAACAACTGTTGGTATTTGAGGGAAATCTGTCAGTTTTGTGTTCGTTGTGTTTCTCAAAATGTCACTGTGAGTGCCTTACTGGGTTGTGAGATCTCCCCCCCTTCTCTGTGAATGTTTTCTTAACCTACTTAGTTGAGATATGTACATTTACTTGTATATAACTGGAAAGGGCCTCTTATACTAACTTCTTGTGGGAAGGGAATTTGGTATTCACTGTTTCTTCCCGAGGGAGGGAAAATGGAAACCTGGGCTTGCTACTGTGAATTTGAATGGATGGCTCAGAGATACTGCTTTAGAACATGGAGGTTCATCAGAGCATGCGGACAGTTTCACAGGCTGGTAACAATCTGCATAATTGAAGAACCGTCCTATGTGCAGATCTGACGTTGGCCTTCATGCTTTAATAATCAGGGTGTGTTTTTTTTTGGAAGATAGCTGCACTTAATGTGGTCTAATAGTATCACAAGCCATGATGAAATGGATAAGTTTGTTAACAAACAACAACAACAACAACTGTGACTGGCTGCCACTGAACATGGGGTTTCATCTCACCATGATGTCAAACCCCAGATAGTCCTCTTCATTCTTCTTTAAAAACACACAAAGCTTTGGTGATTCCTTTGTGGCAGGGAATTGTGGAAGTTCATGTTTACTGTCTGTGTGAAGTTTGGCTTTCCTAGACAGTTTGATAATTTTCAAATGGATATTACGTGTGTATGTGTGTGTGTGTGTGTGTGTGTGTGAGAGAGAGAGAGAGAGAGAGAGAGAGTGGCACAAGGATCTTCACTGTCCGGGGAGACCTCCCCCTCCACTGCTGTTATATAGATACTCATCATGCTAATAGATTCAGAAAGAAAACAGACTGTCTTGCTCAGCTGGGCTGGGCTGAAGCGGGTGGGATTCCTCTGTGAATATCAATGTTATATGGATATTCATTGTATATATATATACACACACACACATACATACAGTGGTGCCTCGCTTAACGATTTTAATTGGTTCCAAAAAATTCATCGCTATGGGAGAACATTGCTAAGCGAAACACGGTTTCCCAATGGGAACGGATTGCCGTCCTTAAGCGAAAATGTGTGTGTGTGTGTTCTGGTTTCCAAAAATCAAAATGCATCATCACTGCTTCTAAGAAGACTGAGAATCTAATAGCCACTGTTTGAATGTGATGAGATGGATGGACGTGTCTAAGTCGTGTGGGAAAATAGAATTGAGTCATAGAATTGTGCTGGAAAGGAATGGAGAAAGTTGAGTTTTGTTAACCCAATACTTTGTACAGGATCCACCACAAAGTGTCTGCTCAGCCTGCTATAGGCCAATTTACTGTGCACTCATGTTTTCTGTAATAAGCCCTCCTGCTCTGTTTGAAAAGGCAAGACGTGGTAAGGGGGAAAAACAAAAGTAGCTCATGGGCCAAGTTGGCTTACCAACTCAACTATTTATTTATGTGAAATATTTTCTCCTTAAAGAGGACCCAAGGTGGCTTACATAATGAAAAAAACAGTGTTTAAAAGCTAAAACAGTAACCTATTTTTAAAGGGTCAAACAAATGCCACACTAACACAGCCAGCAAAATCAACTTCAAAAACACAAAGCAACAAGGAATCACAATCCATTAAAATAAAATCCCACTTGGATAGCCAGTCACTAAGGGAAATCCTGAGTGAAGAGAAAGGCCTTTGCCTGCTTCTGGAAGGACAGCAAAGATAGGGGCAGGCTGGCCTCTGGTGGCAGGGAGTTCCAGAGTCTCTGGGAGCAGCCCACAACACCAGGGCAGCTTCATAAAGTGAACATCTCCTTCCAGGGTTTAGTTTTCCTCTGCTGAAATAAAATGCTGGAGAGTCATGACGCCCTTCTCCATTTTTAAAGATATGTGTTTACAGTTGTGTTTCTATTGTTTCTTGATTTCAGTCTTAGCCATTTTACAGAAAGGCAGAATAAAAGATTGCAGAAGGATGAAACACACGAATAAGTCCTTTTGTTGTGTTCTAGACAGCCAGATTCATTATTGCCAATGTGCAAAGATTGTGTAGGAGTGTTCACTTGTATTTTGGAAGCTATGAACTGGAGGATTCAGATACCTGCTGGAGCGTTTGTAGGTGATCAGATTTGGCCTGCTAGTGTGTCTTAGACCTGGAGTGGCTGAGTGGGGGGAAGCATCATAGGATGGAGAACAAGTTATTAACGTCCTTCTTGTCTCATCCCACAGCTGCTTCCTTGACTTAATTTGGTTTCTTCCTGATCGGCTCTGACTTCACAGTATGTGTGTTGAGGGTGTCTGTGTGTGTGTGTAGGTGTGATTCCTGTTTGGGTTTCAATCTGAACTTTATAGGAGCTGTCTAAGGTACTGAACCCTATCACACACATACACACCCCAACAGGTTCAGCATTTTGGATCGTGCTTGCAAAGTTTGAGTTAAAATCCGGCGTGGATTCACTGCTCCCATGAAGCCGGACACAACAGCTTCCGTGTGTCGTCAGCCTGATCCTCTTTTCCCTTTCTCCTTGCTGGTGCTCATATTCTAGTAATGACATTTGGACGCCATCAGAGTATGGTGCACACACTGCTCCTGAATGAAAAGCATGTGCTTTCCCCATGGTCCACGGAGTCAGTTTTCATAGCCCTGTTGCCCTATAAGCTCTCTCACTATTAAACATTCCAGTCTAATGGCATTGGTGTCTGACAGTGTCTGTAATGCAGCTTTTTAAAAGAGTGTGTGCATGTTTTTTTAAAAATCAGGCTATATTTAGGTTGTTGATTCCCAAACAGTGTGGCTTGGCAGGAAAAGAGGGAGGCGCCTTGAATGGACAGTCTGTGAGACGCAGCTGCTGGCGTGATTTTGAAGGGAGGTAGAAAAATCCTTCTCCGAGCGGGGCCAAGGAGAAGGCGGATGGTGGACGTGTCTTCACAATTGTGTGTGTGGAGGGTGGAGCCCGCCGAAGAAGGGCCTTGGTGGGAAGGGCTGTCGGCACCAGAGAGTCTTCTGAAAATGTCTCATACTTTGGTCTTGCCTTTTTGAGAAGCTTCCTGGGCTCGCAGGCTGCATCCCGTTGTAAAATAAAACGAAAGCCGCCTCTGCTAGGGAGTGCAATGAGCGCTGGCAAAATGGAGAAACCTGAAAGACAAGTGGTCTTCGGGAAAGGGAGCATCGGGGAAATCGAAAGGCGGTGGGAGGCTGTTTCTAAAACTGGCACCTCTCAGGGAGCCCTGCGCCACAGGAAACACACACACACAGAAAATAGTTCAATGGGTCGAGTGCCTACAGGAGCCTTGGAGGGCTGAATGTCAGGCGGAGAAGATGATCAGGGAACTGTGACAAGGAAGAAGGGATGGAGGAACTTGGAGCAAAGGAAAGCAGAGTGTGCTGCTTATGTGCCGCCCACAGTGTTTAGGCAGCTGACTGCTGAGCCAGAGACTGCGAGTTCGATTCCCCCACTGGGCCTCCAGGGAGAAGAGCCAGCCTGGGTGGCCTTGGGCAAGCTGCACAGGAGTCCCAAGGCTCCCCCCAGAAGAAGGGAATGATAAATCACTTCTGAATATTCTCTACCTGGAAAACCCTGGAAAGAGTTAAGTCAGAATTGACTTGCTGGCAAATGATTATTTATTCTCAGCACTTAAAGTGCTCTCTGGATGATTTATAATTTAAGTATGAAGACTACACAGTTGCCCCTCTCCCCGAGAGCTGGGTACTCAGTTTAGCGACCTCAGAAGGATTGAAGGCTGAGTCAACCTTGAG